GGGGGGGGGGGGTTAGGATAGGGGTCTTGTTCAACTGATCTGAAATTTAAACGTGTGTCTTCTGCAGAGTGTCTGCTTACATTACTGTACCTGTAATGTCTTCAATTGTAAGTGTCCGACGTTTTATTTGCAACTTTACCAGTTTGACGTTTTCATTTTTTTCGTAAATACATATTACATATTACTTTCGTTTTTTTTTTTAAAAATCTGACCGTGCATTTAACTGTTGGCTAAACAATAATAATATTTTTGTCATGAATGTCCATTGTACCTGGGGCGTGATTTCTCACAAGGCACCCACCAAAATACCTCGAGGAGAGGGTGGGGGTGGGAAGGTAGGAGAATGGCAAGCCGAAAAATAATATTCCTTTGTTACCCCCCCCCCACCTGTTGCCGATATGGTTCAAATCCTAAGCCCCCTCTTTTTTCCCAAGTTGTCAAAATTTAACCTATCCTAATTCGTCACAATTTATGCCATCCTAAGTTGTCACAATTTAACCTATCCTAATTTGTCACAATTTATGCCATCCTAAGTTGTCACAATTTAACCTACCCTAATTTGTCACAATTTATGCCATCCTACGTTGTCACAATTTAACCTATCCTAAATTGTCACAATTTATGCCATCCTAAGTTGTCATAATTAAACCTATCCTAATTTGTCACAATTTATGCCATCCTAAGTTGTCAAAATGTAACATATTTTAAGTTTTCACAATTTTAACTTATCCAAGTTTGTCACACTGTATTTTTTCCTAAGTTGTCAAAATTTAACCTATCCAAATTAGTCAAAATGTATTCTATACTAAGTTTTCAAAATTTAACCTATTCTAAGTTGTCACAATTTAATCTATCTCATGTTGTCACAATTTAACATAATAATCCTAAGCTGCCATAATTGTACCTATCCTAAGTGAAGCATCTACACACGAAACGTACTACTGACACCAAGCATAAACGAATGTTGTATTTTTTTTATTTTTAAAACCAAATTTCCAAAAGACCATGGCCCATCGTAAGATCTAATCTACCACTAACCCCTCCCCCCCCCCAAAACCCACCCCCGAGACGTTATAGAACAATGTACCAATAAATCCTAAAAATACAAAATCTATAATGATTTTTTTTAAAACAATAATTAATTTATGTCATTTTTTTTCCAATGTAACGTATGTAACATTAAAACATTTTGAAATAACGTTCTGTTATGACCAATATTCCCTTTAAGCCGCGTGGCTGCGCGGCCGCGCACCTTTCTCACAGACGCCGCGCAGCAGTTTTGAGTATCCGCTCAGCGAATTTCCATGTAAGTGTGTGTTTGTATTTATGGGCTGTAGAGTTTTGCACACAACTGTATTATTTTGCACACGAACCAGCAAGACTTAGAGGGAACATTGGTTATAACCTGTGATGATATGACCTATTTTGGTGGAGGACTCGCGATTGAGTCATCATCACCTGCTCGTGTCTACTCCGGTTTTAATCGTAGATTCCAATAGACCACATATTCTCATGTATAGGCCTATGCACTTGCGTGTAAACAAAAAGAATTCCACAAACAATCCAATTCGAATGAAACGAAACAAATTATTGACAATAATTTTCGAAACCTTAATTGAAATGCAGGTCTCCCGGTTGTGGTAAATCAAATGCTTTGGTAGGCATGGATTCGATTAACTTTGACATATGAATTTACCATCCTATTTAATTTCTTATGGATATGGATCATTGGCTTCAACGTTTTAACATGACATTCCATCGGCATTATGTATTGCTTTGTAGTCAGAAAAATTTGTTTTGACAGTAAGATAGGTATGTTTTGATCGGTTACAACCTATCAATATTAAATAAAAACTGATGATCTATAGTGATCAACCAATCCATGACGTCACTTCAACGGTGGAAATGGAGCTTCCTCTCCTCGTCTTTGAACA